TATGTAATTACTTATATAAATTAATCAATAAAGATATGAGCAAGGCCTCACCTTAATACCAAAAAAAAAAAAAATTTTATTTTAATTTTATATAATTAAAAAAAATATATTTTATTAAATTGATAAAAATTTTTTTATTTTAATTCTATAACTAAATAGAATTAAAATAAAAAAAAATTTATTAATTTTGGTTTAATAGTTGCTGAGATATTTTAATTTAAAGTCTAGAAAAAATTTATTTAAAAACAATTTGCCTGGATTCTATTGACTTCACCTCATATTTTTACATTGCATCAATATTAAAATATGAAAATTTCTTTATTTCTGTTAATTTAAATTTATAAACATAATAGTTGACAAAGTAAATCAAAAAAAATCCTCTTGAAACTTGCTTTTCTTCCTATTACAGTAATTATAATTATTCTATGTTTCTATATGATCGCATGACGGGGGTTTATCACTTATAATCACTATTTTAATCAGTAAAAAAATCAAGTTTCTAGCAATGTTTGTTATTTCCCCAGCAACACTTGTTATTTCCCCAGACTTCCAGGGCATTACCGAGGAAATAACAAGAAACTCGATTTTTTTATTTATCAAACTAGTAATTAAGTCATAAAGCCCATCATGATATCATATAAAAATAAAGAATAATATCTTTATTTCGCCGCTACGGGGAAATAACCCAGTAGATCTTCACCCGACTGTAGGCCCTTCGGGCCCCCAGATGACTGGGGATGTACCTCTTATTCCCACCATTGCGGAAATAAATAGTACTTATTAAACAAATTTCAGATATTAAATATTTATATAAATTTAAAAAAATAAACTTATATTCAAAACCAATACTTCGCCTCTTTTAAACTCTTCTTTGTTTCAATACTATTCTGATAGAAACATCCAACATTTTTGATTCCTTCAACGTATCCAGTGTTTAAAATTGCTTTGCACAATATGAACATGCACAAGTAGTTTTTTATTTGTGAAAGAAAAGTATTTCTTAAAAAAAATTCCTTGCAAATTTTGCTATATACAAGCCTCCTCTAACTAGTGCTCGGCAAAATCAAATAAAAACTCAATTATTGAGTTTTTGAATCTATTGATTTATAATATTGTGCTTTAATTATAAAATTTGTGTTTACTCTAATCTGACTTTCCTGTTAGATTTATATATATACTAAAAATAATTTTTGTATTTAATACACAATATTGTAAATTGATAGATTCAAAAACTTGATAATCGAGTTTTTGTTTGATTTTGCTGAGTAATACCTCTAACCGTTATCCTAACGCGTCAAGAGTTAATTTATTATTTGAAAAAATGCATTGACGATCTGTGGTTTAAATTGGCTAAGGGAATTTTAGCACATATTATCACGTGATCACAAAATTTTACGCATAATAGATCAGACAGATATCATAGATACACCAGATCTGGAATATTAGGATAGTTTGTATTAAATGGCAGATCTTAGTAATCCTGGCTATAAGGTTGATAAGGGTTTATTGATGATTTTAATGATATAGAGGATTCCTGGGAATGTAAATAACTGCATTAACAATTATAAATAATTTCGGGAAGAACAACTCTTGTCTTTGCTTTATTAAAAATCATATAATCATACAAGTATCAAAATAACATACAAGTCAATCCTTAATAATACATAAACTTTGTATATGATAAACGCATGTATTCACTGAGTTGTGACTAACCTAATAATTCCCTATTTTATAGTTAATCGTAAAATACCCAAGTTACATATTGTATAAACTACATTCACACATTTACCGCTCGCCAAATCTAACACGCCTTTTTGACCCAACTTTAACTAACCTTTGGTTACACGAAGCAACCTTTGCTCAAGCAACTGACTCGCCGATTTTAGGTCTGTCAAAGTAACCTGTACCAGATTTAAACCTCCTAGTATATCAAATAACAAAAAATTTTAATTTCATAATATTATTTTATTCACATTAAGACAAACTTACTGATTAATAAAAAGTCTTTCTTTATACATTAATTAATCAATACAAAAAGTCTTTCTTTATATATTAATTAATCAATATGAATAAAAATGATATGAACTCAAATAGTTGGAATACATATATTGAAATAAGAGGTGTTCATAAACAGGACCCCTGAATATATGAATAAAGCCTTTGTCGTACACTTAAACTAAATTTTTTAAGACGTTTGTCTATAAGTGTACAAAAATGAGCTTTTTGATAGCAAATTTGTTTGACTTTTAATGTACACTTAATTAATAAAATTAAAAAAAGATTGATGTACACTTTTTATTATATTGTATTGGTATATTGTACAGTATATATAAGAATATATGTATTCTGAAAAGTTCTGAATAGAAAATGAATGAACATAAATTATGAGCAAGGTTTTGAGAAGAATTCCAAAATCCTTTATTTGTATACCTATTAAAGTAAAGAAAACTTATATTAAATTTCTGTCATACATTTAAATTAGGGTTTTGCAAACCTGGAATATACTAGTGCAAAAATGGGCATATAAGGCACGAGCATAACTTCACTTTAAATTTTAAAGCACAGGCACAATATAAATGGGCCTTACATAGGCACTGGCATAAGTCTGGCACAGTACCAACAATGCCTAGCATAGTGCCAACAATGCTAGACATATTAATTATTTATACAATTAGTTAATTAATTAAAATAATATTTGTATGTATATACAGTATATATTGTAATATAAAGTTTATATATAATTTAACAATTGTAGCATTTACATTATTATATATATATATTATGCAAAGCAATAATATTGTTTAAGAATTATTTTTATATAAAACTTTAAAAAAATAATATAAAATATTATTTTGTTTCAGGTAAATTTTCAAGCGGGCTAGATTTTTTTTGACTTTCTTTTAACTATGAGTGCATAAGTATTGTGCTGGATACTGTGTTTTTATTAAGATTAGCTCTATCCTTTGTAACTATAAAACCAGTATTAGAAAAAGCTCTTTCACTAGCAATACTAGAAGGTTGAATACTAAGAAAGTCACAGGCTAATTGACTAAGTATAGGAAATTAGTTTGATAATAATTTCCAACTATGTAGTCCACTATTTACTGTATTATTTTCAAAGTTTTCAAGAGGCTCTCGCTTATATAAATCCAACTCATATTCATAAGTATTAATATGAGGTTTTTTTGCAATCCATCTTTTAGGAAAAAATCTATCATGTGTTATATAATCTTCGGATTCTATTTCCAAAATTGAAGAATTTAAACTTGTATAATTTGTTTCATATGAAAGTATTTTTTGTCAAATATTATTAATATATTGTTCAGCTTTAGTTTCTGAATATCCACCAATTTCTAATATAGTTGCTTTTAAATGTTCCATTTTATATCGTGGATCAAGTATATAAGCAATTAAAACATAATCTGATATTTTACTCCAATATTTTTGAAATTTTTTTTTATTAAATTTATAGCATTGCTATTATATTTAATATTATTAATATGCTGTTCAATTTCTAGTATTATTATTAATGCATCTGAAATCGAATTTGACTGATCTTTAGAAAGAATCATTGTTACAATTGCAAATGGTTTAAGAATTTTACAAGTCAATTCTAGTTCTAATAATTCATCTATTTCTAAACAAGGTGGAAATGATGTTTTTTTTAATTGCATTTCTTTAATTGCTGGATGTAATATGATATATCTTTCAAACATCTCTAAAACAGAGTTCCAACGAGTTTCAATCTCTAAAATTGGTTGTAAGAAATTTATTCCAACAACTTTACAATATAATTTCAGCAATTCAATGCGGCCATTAGCTAGAGAATTTGCTAAATACTTCATAATTTTATGAACTTTTTGCCAAAGTATATTAATTTCCATCATTCCTGTATTTACAATGAGATTGAGTATGTGATACATATATCTAATAGATATAAGATCTATATTAGGTAACTCTTTTTGAAGTATCTGAACAACTGCTTTATTTGTTGTTGTGTTATCCATAGTAATTGAAAAAAACTTATCTTTAATATTATAATTATTTAAAGTATTAATTATTACTGATTTAATATCTTTTACTGTCTGACCAGATTTCTGAAAACTCAGTAAAATATTAACAATATTCCAGTTATTGCTTATCCAAGAACCTGTAACAACTGTATAATGATATCGATAGACTGTTGAATGCCAGCCATCACATGTTAATGAAATCTGACCTGGCATTTTTGCTATAACATCTTTAATAAAATTAAATCTAATTTCATAAATGCTTCCTGAAAGGTAACAGAATATTGTTGTTGGATAAGAAACTTTATATGTATCAGTTATATAATAAAGCTTATTTACTATTCTATGAAATAATAGATTAGTAAGAATATTAAAAGAAATCCCAGTGCCAATAACTAGATCAATTATTGAATTATCTATATCCTCTTTTGTAACAGGTTTAACAAAGTTAAATTTTATATTCTGGGTTGTACATTTAGCAGTATGTTTTTTTAAATGTAATTTACTAGTATTAATTGAGAATCGCTACTTCTTGCAATGCTTGCATTGACAAACAACTTTATCTTCATGCAATACTTTATTCGAATATTTTGATATAATATATTCAGTATTAGTACTTGTTTCTGTTATATTATCGTCTGATAAAATACTTGGAGTAGAATTATCTGAATAGGTTGATGTTAAATCTTCCATTAATAAAACACAAGTTGAAGTATAAAGATAAATATAAAAACATAAAAAACAAGTATGTCCTTTATTTGAAAAAAATTTAATAATATAATATGTAATACTATTGACTTTTGGTATAAAATTTTAAAAATAATTCATTGTTAACTACAATATTCTTTCTTTTACATAAATGACACAAGAGAAAATTGAATATTGGGCTTTTAAGTTTATTATTTATTGTTTACTAATAAATAATAATTAATAAAAGACTGATATCTAATTTTTTCTTTAAGTCACTCATCTTGATTTTGTAATAGAAATTATATAACCAATATGATGAATGATATATGACTTAATAAAGTTAATTATATAATTTTTATGTAATAATTAGAAATACTTTAATTTTATTATTATCAATTTAAGAAATATTATAGCATTCAATTTTTGAATTTTTTTTTAACTTTTTATATTAAAAAAAATTATGTCAATTAGAAATAGCAAAATAAAATTATAATATTGATATATATTTAGTAAAAAAAAAATTTTTAATATAAGTTTCAAATTTTCGTTAGGTAGCTTAGTTATATAGATAGATAAATATGATGTATTAATAATTAGATAAAAGATAGTATATTCTAGTAAAGAAAAAAAAAAGATTAAAATTATAGTTTAAAATAGATGATAAAGTATAAAGTGTTATGAATACTCAGATCGATCTAAATTAATATATTATAATACATGGCACTGTTTGGGTATAACAAAAATTATGGTAAGTATTTGGGCCTGGCATAGTGCTGACAGTAGTGATGCCTAATGAAACTATTTTCGCACAGACGAAACCTATTTGTCTAACGAAACCCAGACGAATAACGAAACTATAGACAAATAATGAAACTATAGACAAATGATAAAACTATAGACGAATGACGAAACTATAGATGAAACTATAAACAAATAACGAAACTATAAATGAAACTACAGATGATTGATGATTGATGAAACTAGAGATGGGTTTTATGCATACTAAGAGAGTGTGGGCTAATTGGGGATAATTAAATCTAACCAACTAATTGTCCCAAGATCCTTAATCTTGAATTGGTAAACAGAAAGAGGAGAAGATTGAAGATCAAGGAACCTAGTGATATCTTCGTGACAATTACATCACATGAATAAGTGTTTGGCCTATGTTAGGGTTAGTGTTAGAGTTAGATGATAGGTTAGTTTAGGCTAATTTGTTTGGTGCTAGCAAACAAATGATGTGGTTGCATAATTTCATATGATGTGAATATCATGAAGATATTACTGGGTTCTTTGATCTCCAAGTGTCCCAAAAAAGTCAATAAAGATTTGGTCCGGGTCTTAAGGTTAGGGTCATGCTATGGTGTAACTGGTCTTACAATACTTAATATTATTATTATAGCAGGACGATGATTTTCCATGGTGACAAAATAACAATTCCATCCGTGCAAAATGATAATTTTGTAAAAATTTTGCGATCTGACCAGAATTATACAAACCGGCCAGAATTAAGTTGTAAATTCCGACCAAAATTAAATATCAACCCTCGGCCAAAAATCACAAATTTTATAAACTATTTCTGTGATTTTTCTGCAAAATTCTATGAACGCAGAAATTGTCTCTGTTCTATAGTTCTATTTTCTGATGTTACATGTCAGGTAATCAGTATCGAGGCTCAGAAACAATAAAAATTGGCAGATCTTTGAATATTCATGTAACATAACCAAAGAAATCATAATAATCCAAAATTTTATTGTCGGAAAACATTTATGCACCAACCAGTTTTTAATAATTCCTAAAGCAAAAGTCACACGTTTTATTTTTATTTATTTTTTTCTCATAAATAAATATATATTCATGGAGTTTCATCACGAGTTTCGTCATTCGTTATGAGTTTTATCATTCGTCACAGGTTTCAACATTCGTCATTTGTCTAATTGAAGCTGCCAGACAAAACAGTTTCGTCATTCGTCTAGACGAAACTATTTCATCTTTCGTAAGGCATCATTAACCGACAGTGCCAATTGTGCCCGGCATGTTTACTTGCAGAACCCTAATTTAAATGTATAGTTTAAAGTTTAAGCAATTGTACACTTCAATAATAAAAATTATTTGTACACTTATATATGGTTTGAAGATGAAGGTTTATATATATAACATACTAGTATTCAGGGGTCCTTCATAAACTTGACCAATTTAAAAAACCAATTAATAAAAGATCTCGATATTCACCGAATAAATTGCAGTAATATTAATAAAATGAAATAAAATATTCATGTCCATGAACCCGAATAGCTTACTTAAATAAATTAATTAATTATGAAAATCGATTAATTTATTAAATAGCAGGGATACAAAGTTCGGAGTAATATGCAAATATCACAAAGTATGTGGTTCAGGGTTTAGAATTCAAAAAAAAAATCATTTACACAAATGTATTTTGTGCAACTTTTTTAAAAAGCTTTACTTGCACACTTAAGAGATTTTTTAAAAATCTAAAAAAATCTAAAAAAACACTTGCACGTGTGCATCTTGTGCAAACCAATTTTAAACCCTGATGTGGTTACGTTGTAAGTGTAAAAGGAATCATTTTAGGTTCGGAATCCACTTAGATTGTAATGTAATAATTATACTAAGTCCCAACTCTAACCTTAAAAATTCAGAAGCAACTTATATTCTGTTCCCTTTTACGGCATATATAATAAAATAAATGAAACGAAAAAAAATAATAAGTAAAATAAGTAAGTCACAGGCAAACTGTGACAATTGGATAGCAGAATTTCAATGGAATTGAACTGACGACAATATATTTCAGATTTTTAGTTTAGCCCCATTTTTTAGCCAATAAGATAAATTTTTAATAAAAATAGGAATACTCAGCACTCAGCATACAAGGCTAGTTTTAAATATAAATAGAAAATATATAAATAACGACATTTATGTGTGTCTTAGCCTGCTTTACACTGCCTCATTGCAAAATCAGGCTTTTTTCTTACATCAGAAACTTCATTGACAAATTTTTTTATACTACAGTCGTCATCCCATACAATACACATGGTAAATTTTTTAAAAAATGTGCTTATAAAGGGGTTGTGCTTATATAGAGGTTTTTTTTTCTTATAAATTAAATCATAGTATAGCCTAAATAAAAATGTTATTACATATGATGTGATTATATGGGGTGACTATATGGAAGGTCGACTGTAATATCCCGGTTTCACATTGACTTTGTTTAAATCCCATTTACATTACTATATATTTATATAGTACATTAATATAGCCCTAATTATAAACGACATTATCAATTAATTTAGGAGCAGATATTTTAGAAAAATCATGTTTGATGATAACAAAATTATTTTAGCATTAATATTTATGGATTCGAGCTGTAATAAGTGGCATAATGGTTCAAGTGGTAGCAATAAAATCTGGACTTTGTATTATGCACTATAATATGAGAAGGTAGAGCAAAAACGAATAAATTTGTTGAATAATTTTAAAACTTGATATTAATAAATTTGCAAATGCTTAAAAGTATGTTTGTCATTTTAGCAAAGATTTCATCATAAATTTGAAATTTTAATTGATAGCGCAAGAACTATTGTAATTTCTGTGACTCCTAAAATTTTAGACTATTGTTAATATTTGAAAGCAATATATCCTTCAATGATTATAAGACATCTTAGTTTCCACTATATTTTAACCATTCATAATTCGTAAACAAACTCCCGCCAAGCTTTAAAACCAGAATAGTAATTTTATAGAAACGTAGTATGTAATAATACCAAAATTAGAGCTATTAACGATTGAAGATGGCTTTAGCTGCATAATGGAACCAAGATGACCAAGCGAATTGGGCTGCATATTATGGTTACAGCTCAAGTTGTAGCTTGGTTATAACCTGAACTTTAAATTCTTTATTAGTTAATATTTAATACTACATCTCTATTATCTACTACAGCTTTAGCCGCGATTCATGCTAAGGCTTAAATAGCCATGGATCAAGCTGGAGTCATGACTTTAAAGAGCCGAGCAAAGCCAAAACATACAAGCCATTAATGAAACGATATGACAATGAACTAATTGTAATAATGAAAATATAAAGCATGTGAAATTTTGTTGACATCATGCAAATATCGAAGATTTGGGTTGCTACTGATGTGTTACAAATTCAACTTATACATAATAGTTTTTTTTAAGCCTCGAGACTGCGCCCATTCCTTGCCAAGGCAATGTACCATATTGATATTATATAATATGAAATATATTTACTGTTATTGAATAGACAAGCTGATTGTTTTGAAAACTGACCAATGTTTTCCAAATATTAACGTTAAATAATGTGTTCAAAATCATTATCATCTCAGAAAGAATTATCTCGTTATTATCTAAAATGAGTTCATCAAAATCTGAAGAACCGTTAATTGAAGATCAAAGGATTTCAATCGGTGATCCCAATCCGCATGGAGGAAAACAAATTAATGCATGTTATTTATCACCAAATATGCAATGTATTGCAACTTTGTGTGAAAAAGATAAATCGATTGTTGTATGGAACATTACAAATGAACTTACTGTGAAATATTACGAGTCATTAAACGTTAATGATCTTGAAAGTATATTAAGCAATTATATATTATCACTTTTTAATTTTGATGAATATTTTCTAAGTTCCGAAGGTTTTGAATGTTACTCAGTAAAAGGAATTTCAGATTGTAAACAAATAATATTAGAACCGAGTTTTGATATTTTAGAAAATGAATTTGGTTAGTTAAAATTAATTAATTGCTAAAGCTTAATTATACTTTATATTAATAAAGTTTGTTTTACAGTAATTATTGATATTACAACTAAATTAAGACAATTGTTGAGTGCGCAAGGTCTAAAAGGAAAGACTAAAGCTTCGACCTTTTTAAAAAATGGAGATCTGGTAATTGTCAAAGGGGATCCTATTTATCGGGCCTATATCTTTTCAAAATCAAAGCCTAATGGCATACATCAATGGACATGCAAATATAGTATTGAACTCGAAAAATTTGATGAGTGCTATGTTTTAAAAAACGGAAAATTATTTATGGTCTTTGATAGACCGAATGTAATCATGCAATGGGACTTGATAACCCAGAAGTTTGATATGCAATATATATTAAATTGGAATTTCGATATTTATGTGTCGAAAATGGAACTGAATAATGACAATACATTGTTAGCAGTAGCTAATTATTATAGATCAATCTGTGTTTATTCGACAAAATCCGGTATTATGTTGGCAAATAGTAGGTATTTTTTATGCAAGCTATTATTTATAAATATTAAAATCAAAATTATTAATTTAATTAATAATTTAGAAAATTTTGACGAGAGGTTGCAGAATTTCTGTTTTATTGGATCAGGAAAAGAAGAACGTTTGTTTATTTCTGGCCCGAATCTTCTTGATAATAGTTATAACTCTTATATATTGAATCCACACATATATACACTAGATAAGCCTCCCGACGATGTCTTCCATGATATTTATCCTGCAGCATTTCAAAATTACTCGTCAATAGAAATAGCAAATTACTTGTCAATATGCTTTTTTAATATTATTTCTGATTATATTATAAAAACTGATACAAATCATCTGACGATTAAAAGATTATCTCAAAATGAAAAATGGAAAAATTATTTAGAACGTAAAGAGCGTTATTACGGTAATGTATATACATATTTCAATACAAATGAAATAATGAAATTTATAAATACTATTTTGGACAAGCATGAGAAGTACGAGTCAAATCAAATTTTAACTCAGGATTATCCAGATGAACCAGTAGAATATTCTAGTGAGCCATGTACTTGGATTTTTGAGTATAAAAAAGACGATAATGAAGTACAATTAAAGGCCCAAATTGAGTCTGGTAAAAAAATTCATCTTAGAACTTTTTCTTTATATTCTGGTATTTTTGAAAATAAAGTTCTTGAAAATGGAGACATATTATTGGTTTTCGATTCATGCATCCTTATTTATACAATAACTTCAGTAAAAGATTCTAAAGAAGATTTTGAAGGAAAACTAATTTATTGTTGGACCGATAAAACCTGGAGAGAAAGAAAAAGAGATAATGAACCACCAAAAAAATCTATAATTAATCTTCTTACTTTATTCAAAAATTCGGTTGAAAAGAATTTGAATATCGGATTCGAAATTTTACCATTACCAACTTATACAGTAAGAATTCAAACGAGTCAAAACGGTGCGAGTCTTTTTTATTTAGACTATAAGAATTCAAAATTATTAATATTATTATATGGGAAAGACATATTTCATAAATTAATTCTAGAACATGAAAAGGGAAACATTGAAGATTTACCTCTAGAAAATAATAGAGGATACATTGATGAATTACTTACTTGTTGTTATAATTATAGCTTGTCGACGCTTAAAAGTGGTGACATTTATAATTTTATATTAATAATAAGCCAAATTACTTTTACATTAATAAGGTTAGATAAATATAATAGAAATCAAAGATATACTGAAAAAATTTTATCTAAGACCAATCTGTTGCTTGGCCATATTGACACCGATTATTATCATATTAAAAATGATAATTCCTTCTTGTTCAATTCTCAACATTGTGGAGTCTATATTAATTCACATAATTTATTTAATACTTCATTTTTTAATTTCATGTTTTTTTTGGATTTCTGAAAAATGGGATCTTTTAAAAAAATCATATCCTCGAATTTATGACATTTTAGCATTTCCTTACTTGCTGTATTTATCTTATTTTATTATTTATCCCCAAGATACTGTAGTTTTAATGTTTCCATTATTGGATTTTGCTACATATTTTCCTATTTTGAACTATTTTATATTAAAGGTAATCCTTTTACTTTACTATTAGATACTCCTGATTATTATAAATGGTGGAATATTAAAGCACTTGTCAACTTCAAGTGGAATACCTACGGAAGACTTTATTATTTTATAATATGGGCAATATATTCTATTTTTATGTGCTGTTTTTTAATTGTTTCAACAATTCCAGATCTTTGAATAATCAATTAATTCTTTTGATTGCAACTATTTTTTTGGGGTTTATTCATTTTATTTTTGAAGTTCGTCAGTTTATCCATAGACCAAAAGTATATATTGCTAGTCCTTGGAATTGGTTTGGTATATAAATTTATTTTAATAATTTATAATTACCCTAATCAAAATTTATTATTACTAATTTTATCATATTTTTTAATCATAGATCTTGCTGCAATATTATTTCCAACAATAACTTCATTAATATGGTTATATGATAAAACACCACCAATTTGGATTATAACCCTTGCTGCTTTTTTACTTGAAATTAAATTTTTATTATTTTTCCGTGTTTTAGAATATTTTGGAACTTATTTTGCAATTATGATTGGAGTAGCGCAAAAAGTCTTTCTTTTCTTTTTGTTTTAGGTATTATGGTTTTGGCCTTTGCCCATTCTTTGCATCTTTTACTAAGACCTACTAGCGATTTTTCTTATGATCAGCCAAGTTATACTGATGATATTAATAATCCTTGGAATCTTGTTTCAACATATAAGTCTATTTCATCTAACGACACTGTTGGGGGATCTTCTCTTATCGAAACCCAGATGACAATACAAATTTATTTTCAATGTTTAGTACTTCTATTTTAGCTATATACTTTATGCTAACAGGTATTGTATATGAATAATGAATTAAAAAAAAATTTGACAAAAAAAATTAATTTTATTTTATTTTAGGAGATACAAGTTCAGTTTCTTCATAGGTTTTAAAAGATAATTGGGTTCTAGCATTTTTGTTAGTTCTATTTTCATTTTTTACAACAATTTATCTATTTATTTCATTACTTGGAAATGCTATTGAGGAAACAAATAATGAAGAATCTTTTTTACAACTAAGAGGAGAGGTATAAATGTTTATTTATAATTTAAAAGTAAGACAAAATATAGTATTAACATACTTTTACTATTAGATATTATCTGAAATTGAACTTTTTTGGATGTTACCTTATCAAAAAAGAAAAAAAAACTGGTTTCCAAATATTAAGCTATAAATTAATATATATTTTGAATTCTAGATATTACAAAGTTTCAGTTAATGAACTTAAAAAATATGTAAGATGTGCTGAAGATAAAGAAAGCCTTCCTTCTGAAATTAAGGAAATTACTAATTTTGAGGATTCTGAAGAGATATTACGAAATAAAATAAATGATATAAATGATTCATTGACAAAAATAAATGAAACATTACCAAATTAAATAAATGAAGCATTAACAAACAAAATGAATGAAACATTGACAAATCAAATAAATGAAGCAATACAAAATCAAATGGATAAAGCATTAGAAGATCCACTAGATAAAATTAATAAGTTAATTGAACTTATTGAAAAAAAGGAATCAGAATAATAATTCTTTTAATAACAATTTTAGATATCATTGTTACAATAGAGTGGCATAATAATTTTTTTAGTCGTTATATAGTTATTTTTATTATGTAAATTGAATTGTTCATTATATAGTTGCATATAGTTGTTTTTTTCTTTTTTAATTTTTTTATTTTTTATTTAAAACAAATATCTATTTAAAGTTCAATAAATAATCAATGTTGACAATATATTTTTTTATTAAATTTACTTCGTAATCAATATGGGGACCATAACTATGATACTTAATCAAATGCAAAGATGTTTTAAAAGATAATAAGGAGGTTTATATCAATGTAAAATAAGCCTTAATTTCCCTTATCCCTATTACGTACAATTTCTCGAATAATCTATCCCGAATTTGTGGAACTACAAGATTCTCGGTAAACTAAAAATTTTTAAATTTGTACCAGTCGAAGGTTGCTGTGTCAAATATAATAATAAGCACTTAACCAAGATTTAAGTTGCTGCGAAATTGCTAAAGGTTTTAAGTTATTTTAAGTGTAAATATAATTATCTTGAAATAATAAATTTAGAGATCCTACAAAAATTGGCTCTGAAGGTTTTAGAAAGAGTTTTAAGTAAAATGGAAAAAATGTCTTGAAGTCATTACGGCACATTTGTAAAATACCCCAAAATTTGAAAATTTCGACTGCTAATACGTAAATAGTAATTTTGTCTAAGATAGTTAATGTTTCCAGGTTAAAGTGCGTCATTATATGTCTAATAAAATGTGTCAAAGAGTGGAAGATGGGTTAGCCTGTAGGTAAAATGGGTTAGATGTCAATAATTTTTTTGGGGTTCAAAATTAGAAATCGATAATAAATTTTGTCCCAATCCTTAAATTGGTGACAAAATATTAGTTAAATTTTACAAACGCGTCGTAATGACAAGCATGGTGAGGAAATTATTAAGGGATTTATTAATGAGGCATTATTGTTATATTGAAACTTTAATTGCGTCCTACTGTAGAATAATAAATTTTTATAGGCGTTCTCAAGCGTCTTAATCGATGGGTCAAAATGTGTGGAGAAATAACTTTCGCCGAAAAATATTTTAAGCGGGTCAATTGTATTTATTATAATGGATATTTAAATTATTTTTTGCAACTTGATAAAGTTATTACGTAATAATAATTATAAATAAATATGCAATTAATTGCAAGGATATATTAATCCACTGTCATTATCCGAGTTTTCTCAATCTACATTAACTGCAGAGGTATTTCCTCTTTAAAAAACTCTACCAAAAACACGACGGAGATAATGAAAATTTCACAAACTTTGAATTCTAATCAAGGCATGTTTTAGATTAGTTATTGACTTTCGAGTAAAAAAAAGAAAATTTTCAAGATTTATAACATTATTTTCTTTAGATTGACGTGATCGTTGGCAATACATCGATAGTTGACCAATCATATTAATTGTCAATCCTGAACTTTTTGCAGAAACTTTGACAACAGAATTTGATTTCAGAGGAGATATTGAATTGTTGATACTTTTTTTTCTTATTATGTTATACATTTGTTTATTTTCTAATTAATTAGAAGCACAATACGTAGCACATTCTATTTGAGAACAAATTCAAATATACGTAAGTCCTTTTATGTGTTACCTATACTGTGATCTTCGACAAAACTTTTTATTTTCAATCACGAACATGATTCGGAGAAAAGCTGCCGTTGAAAACACATTTCATTATTGATAGAAATAGTTGAGGCTGAAATTGATAAGATTGAGAAGATGAGAAAGAGACCATAGGTCGAACACTGTTTACATTTTATCGGTTAACGTATCAATTTTTATTATGTATTTTATTAAATTCTGATTTGTATATTAAGCGCAAGAGACGTTAAATTCGCAGTAGGTAGGGTGTCATATTACTCCAAAAATACATCGTACGCTTTTCCATAACACTACCGTGGTTTATTTTCCTAAAAATGAAAATACTTTAATGATTCTTTCATGAGGCATGCCACCAGTTTTACATAAAACTAGTTCCATGAAATATGATAATTACACTGCGATATCTGAAAAGTCTTTAGTACCTGATAAAATGCGAGGACGAGGTAAATATTTAATTTATGAGCTGTTCAAATCTCAATGGATGTTGCTGATGCTAGGGATGGTAAATTACCAGGTCATTTACTCAAAATTTAAATGATCAAGTGATTTGAGTAAATGACCGGGTCATTTAGGTCATTTATATATTAAGTAATTTTATTGATTAGATAGCTGATATAAAAAGTTATCAACCGCCGTGATTTCATTAATCAATAATCGGAGCTACACACAAAGTTTAGGCAAATAAATATTTACATCTTCAGTTAAGTTGTACTGGAGGACAACTTAAGATCGATTAAAATAAGTTTTGACTTTTATATGCAGCATTATCGATAATTTCAAGTCATTTATCCCTGGCTGATGCTACAGAGAGCACTAAAACTTTTTCAACGTGTTGTTGAAAATATGATGCTTAGTGTTGGAATCATGGGATAATTGAATTTTAAAAAAACTGGAATATGGAAATTTCTCGCAAATTATTCTTGAAATGGCATCATACAAAGGCATTAGAAGATGGAAAATAAATTAATTTTGAAATCACAAAACTGTAAGTAAAAGTTCAAATGCAAGAGAATTTTACCATAAATTTATAAATATGCATTTATTATTAAATTTACACATAATTTTGGAAGTCTATAAAAATCTTGATATTTTCAACTTTCAAGAACCAAGACAATTAGCATCTTAGAACGCAATTTACAATACAACCACAGAATATCCGTCAATTTTACCACTGATTCATTTGCGTTAAGTACTTTTCTTTATACTTGTCTTGATAAAGCTGTACAATCAGCATCCCAGAGTACCACTTACGAAACAATTACTATCATCATCTACACATCACGAACTTTTTTTTATAAAATTATTATGCAAAATGCTACATCAATCTACATAACTTTATGTGACTTTACATAATATCTTACAAATTTTTATGCATTCTACGGACCTTCAGTAATACTACGCAAAAAGCAGCATAAATTTATATAAATTGTTAAGTGACTTTACGCTTACTTAAATTTATATCAAACAATTACATAATACTATTGTCACCTATGTAATGTTACGCAAAATATAACATCCGAGATCTACAAACCTTAAATTAACCGCCAAATACCATATGTTGTTTCCGAATGGTTCGCACTAATGTATAAGTTTAGTAAGATGTTAATTGGTGAACATCGACTCGGTACAATACACCACCCGAAATAGTGTATATGAATGACTTTAAGGGAAAATAAGACTTTGATAACATTAGTTTATACGATTGAAGTCCATTTTCTCTTGGCGTCATTCATGTTAATGTGAGATTAATGCGTTGCATATAAAATGTACATTAATATATTTATTAGAATGTTGAAGGCAGTTTTGGGCAGAATCGTAAATTCTACGTGGAGTTTTTTTTGTAGTTAAAAAGGCGTGGGGGTATAAATCATAAAGTTAATTGATATCAGTGGTGTAACTGTCACAATTTTAGTTAACATGGATTCTCAGTCAATAACAAATGAAAAATTTTGGGATTGTAAATGGTGTGGTTGTAAAAGAGATTTGTTACTCCGAATCACCGATAATGATATTAAAATTATCAATATACTATGCTTTCCTTTTTTTAAAATTTTTACAAATCAATATTCTTTTCTATGTACCACTTCCAAAAATAAGAAGCAGCTTTATTGTCTATGTCGAAACTCTGATCATGATTTATCAAATATACTCCTTATATGGGTAGTAGCGTCACATGGTTTCTCAGGCTTCACTAATACTAATATGGGGTGCGGTCAACTAAATGGTTTTTTTTCGTAACAATACGTAACAATGACAATCCACCCTCTCAACCAAAACCGATAACCTGTCAAATCCGATATCCTCTGCTGCAACCGTGGGAGAGTCCTCTTCTACTGCGACGTTAATTAAGCTCAGGGTTACAGACATAAACCTGAGGATCGAGGCGTAAAGGATGTATATAACATAGCGGGCTTTACTCGATTAGATGATCGACACAGTATGTTACACAATATGTTCCACATAGTGGCGTAACGTTTTGCAGGTACAAAAATGGTTTGGCAGCCACGGAGACGAATTGGCCAAACTCGATACTAAAAATAAGCGAAAGAGTACCTTCTGGTCTATAAACTGTCAAAGTAATTTGGTAATCCGCGAAGTAATTCGGAAGTTAGATGAGAGGTATGTTTGAACATTCAAGTTTAACTTATAGGTACAATAAATCAATTAAACTTTACTATTTAAGCCGTCTTTTATGTATTTTATGAAAACTTA